CCCCCCAAAATTAGGTGTAAGCTAGCTTTCTACCTGCTAGGCAGAAGACAGAGGTAAAGCAAGATGCTCGAGAGGCACGGCAGAGGCGAGCACGCAGCTCAGCAATCTGCGCTCCCAGCCCTCGCTCTCACCCCACCCAGGCCGCCTGCTTCAGTTTCACTGGGGTCCCAGAGGCCACATCAAGGCCTCCACTTGTGCTCTAAAGACCAAACTCCGTCCCACTGCCGGGGTCGGACATGGCAGCTGCTCTCCTGGGCCTTCTTTGCTTCTGTAGCCAAGGAGCTGTGAGAGGTTGGATTTCCTGTAGGGCGTGCAGAGCCCTAAGCAAAACCAGGCTGTGGTCCAGAGCTGCACCGGTGCCTGCCAGTAGAACAGCCCTGTGCTAGGTGATACGCCTCCCTCCGAACCCTGCTGATGAGAATAAGCTGCCAGGACTTAAGAATAAATATCGTTAGTGACCAGGATATTTATTTTGTATGCAGTGATCATCCCCAAAGCCTTTTCCCCCTCTCTAGAGAATTACCAATGAATTGAATTTCATCACCTGAAAGTCAAGTTCATTTTCAGTTACTTGCAGACTTCATAGCCCTCTTCACTGCTTCAACAGAGGCATTAGGAGTCTGTGTAATTTAGTTTTGGTACTTTTCACTTATTATTACTGAATTCTTGAAATAGGATGGTGTTCCTTCGCTGCCAGAGTCTGCTCTGGAGTGGAGGATGACAGTGTGCATGATACAGAATGATTTAAGAGAAAGGAAATGTAGAGGAAGAAGAAATTTTAACCAAAAATGCCACAAAAATTACTCCTCTTGGGGAAAATTGTGCTTGGATCCCTTGTGATGCTGCAGATTGCATGGGCCCAAAGTATTCCACACCTCTGAAAACTGGACCGTTTCTCTGTGAGCTGTTACTGGGGACACAATCCACCCATTGAACTGCATAGATCAGCCTTACGTATCTAGGAAAAGATAAGCCCACTGCTGTGTCAAGCAACTAGAAAGCCTGAAATCTGACCCTGAAATAACTAAACTATCTTTGTGATGCATTGCAGCCGAGGGACAGGATCCTTGGTGGTGGTGGCGAGAGCACCAGCGGCAGCGTTGGCCCCCTGCGTGGGGCTATGAAGACAAGGTCTCTGCCTTGGAGAACGGGCAGTCCAGACAGGGGGTGTGCCAACTAGGACAGAGGAGGGAATGACAGGTACACCTTGGTTAGATTTCTTGCTTAGTTTCTTTCTTTTTTTTTTTTTTTTTTGTTTAAAGCATAGGAAAGGTTTTTAATTTGTTTCTTGCCTGAGGACAAGTCAAAAATGTGTCCAGCTTTCATTTCATTTAAAAGGGCCTTTGCTTTATTGACAACCATGTTACCACACCCAGAAGGGTAGCTTTGAACGTGTCTCTTTTAGTGCCTTTAATATTAGCCAGAACTTCTGAGATAGCACCAAAGGGAGAAATGAGGTCACTAGAAAGCAATGGGTAGAAAATGTAAATAAGATTGCTTACAGCGCTGATGTGGTAGATAAGAATGATAGTGATGTTTGAAGCTTACCATCTGTGCCCAGCAAAAATAAAACATCCTGAGACACGGATGGCCAAGTACACTTCCATGCTGTCCTTTTTTGGGGGGGCGGGGGGGAGTTGTCTCTAAATGCACTTCTCATAACTTTCAGTTATGCAGTGGATTCACAGTCGAGTCATGCTTTTGGTTTCTTTGATTTCATTTTGATCTCCTGATTACTTGTCACTAGACATGTCTTTACAAAAGTACCTCAGCTGCCTGTCTACATCCAGTTCAAACTTTCTAGATTATCCATGGCTTTCTGCCATTCTGGTTTAGTAGAACATGGAATTGGTGGGTTAAAAAAATTATAATCAAAAGTAAGGGTCGTGTCTGTATGTGGGCATATAAATGAGATAAATGCAGAAACAGGCTTGGGAATGAGGCACCAATGCCTGAATGCCACAAAGCACTAAGGAGCCAAAATACTTTGGACCATGCGTAATGTACTGATTGTGGTCATGAACCTCCCGTGAACATCGTGCAGGCTGAGCCCTGCTGCTGTGCGGAGCAGAGACCCAGCTCAGGGAGCCTTGCTGACTTGTGTAGTGCTTTGTCTGGAAATGGTGATGACATTTGCCTCAAGACTTACAGATATAGGGTGGGGGTTTGGACACCCCTGGACCTACAGCCACTGATACTGTTGTACGGATGTCAGCGTTTCCAATTAGCCCAGTTCTCTGTCAGCGCAAAGGCCGGGCGTTGGTGTACTGCAGCCTTCTGATTTAGGTTTCTTATCTCTTCCTTACAGCATAGTCCAGAGTGTCAAAGCAAACTTGGTGTTTATTTTTTTGTAAGAAACTAAAAAGCCCACTGCAAGGTCCAGATTTTCAACGTAAAGTTTCTCCTGCATCTTATTTGCATGGCTGAGTTATAACTCTCTAAATTACAAACAGAAGCACTGGCAGACTCTAGCTAACCGCTCTAATGGATGCTATTATATTTCTGCTGCTAGTTGGCACTCAACCTTCACTATCTCATCAGCATAAGGGGATGCTGTCAACTTGAAAAATTGTGTCTTCCTTGGGGGTGGGGGGGCGGCGGCACGGGAAGCGCCATACCTGCTATTGTTCCAGCCAGCCTTTTACAACAGCAGTAACTAGAAGGGAGTAAGGATGCGAAGGGGATGCTATTGAGCTGTCGCTGTTCGGTGTGTGTACTTGGTGTATTTGACAGCGCTTTGTGGCACGCCCACTGGTGTGCATTAGCACGTCCTCTCTCCGACTGGCAAGATGATGCCCCCTGGGAGACAGGGGTGCAGAAGGGTCGGTGAGGAGAGGGGATACGTTCACCCCAGGCCTTGCATTAACAGCAGCAGCAAACGTGAGCTGAAAAGCAACAAGAGAAGTTGTATGTACATGGAAATCAGAGGTCAAATATATAGGATGCCATTGTGCTTAGTGCACTGTTTAAAATTGGTTTGTAATGTGCTTGGGAGAGAAAGAATTCTCCCTCCCCACGTCTTACTTCCTTCTCCAGAGGTGATGATTACAGTGCCCTGCTCACTGCTGTTTACAGACAAATCTGTGCAAAACTTGCATGGTCTGAGATGGGCCAGTTCAGACGCATTCCAAGTTGTCGGCATCCCTTTAAATGCAACACCATTCTTTCCCTTGCGGGTGCCAAAACTGTCCCCGGAGGAATTTGCTTCTAACCTGGCAAAAAAGGGAAGGGTTCCTACTTCTTTGTGATTAAAATGACTGGCACGCTGCAGAGAACCGTCTGTCACTACCATCTCTGCCAGCTTCCCCTAAAAACTGCTCAGCTGCCTCAACCCGCAAACGTGTTAGCAGATGAGAGACCTCTTGCTAACCAGTGAATAATACCCCCCTTTCTGTTTTGCTGCTGAAGTAAATGGTTCTGTTTGGGCTATTGCAGGCACTTGGTTGCTCCCAGCTTCTGAGGACGGCCCAGAGTGCTGCTTCCTGCCGAGGAACGGGTGAGGGAATAGAAACGGGAGACCAAGCTCGCCATCTCCTGGGGGAAAGGCATTTACGCTTCCAGGAAAGCTTATTTTATTTCATTCCTTCCTTTCATTCTCACCCTTCTTTCTTTGTGAAAGACCAAGGTTGTAGAAGGCTTAGGAAGCTTGTCAGCTTGCAGTGCCAGCTCTGACCCTACTGCCGTCCCTCTTCTTCCCGTGAGACTCGGTGAAGTAAGACGGTGAATTTATGTCACAGGGTGGGTACGCTGTTGGTGGTTTTGGTGTGCACTCCATATGTATTTCAGCAGCAGCAATGCCAGCGGCACGGCTCGTACACATTAATAATCCCAGAAAAGAGGTTTATAGAGTGTTGAGCAGATGCGGAACAGTGAGGTTCTTATGTACTTAAAATGGCAGCGACTGTTTAGCGACTGCCACGTGTGCCCTGTGGAGCACAGGCACGTTACGGAAGCCATAGCAGATGATCTGGTTACTGACTAGTCACAGCGTAACACCTTTGTTTTCACAGATAGTTATATGCCGCTTCAAAAACTGATGCCTACAGTGAAGCTTCTCAGGATACCTATGGATTTTTGAGCGCAACTAAAAAATTCAGGACTATTGCACGTTCTCGTCACGCTTGCTGCAGAAGTCCCCCTGCTGTAGTTTGTGAGGTTTAATTCACTGGTGTTTGTAACGCAGCTGTAGTGCTTTCAAGCAGGGGCCAGATGAATGCGAACCGTGAGAGCTGTTTCAAAATGCTGGGCAGGATTACCACACACCGATGGCGGGTAAGCCAAGGGGTTGCACCGTAATGCTATGGGACTGTGCCAGTGCAGCACTGTTCCTGAGGTGGGTATTGCCAAGTGGTTAATCAAGCCACACCTTGAGGGTGACAGGTATTCAGTAAGCAGGGCTCAGATGTCCTCAGCATTATTAACCCACCTACTTACATTAAAAATAGAGCAAAAAATCAGCAACTACCTACACAACGCCTGTGTAGATGGGGGAAAAAAAAATATAACAGCATCATTATTGTGTCATGGAATAAAAAGGGGTCAAGAAGTCAGAAAAGGGTCTGGGGAGGTGGGATTCCTCAACTCACAGTGCTGCCACTGATTTTTTGCACCGATAAGCACCTACTTTACGTCTGTATAGCTTAGTGAGATGAACCTTTTAAGGGGTATTGTGAGAAAGATTGGTGAAGTCATGAAACTGGTTCCTTATGTAGGGGTTGTTACGGCACGGAATAACTACAGTTACAAAGCAGCTGAGGAAATTACATTGCTAGATATGTTGATCCTAGTACCAAGAATTGAGGTTAAGACTGTTGTGATTTTTGAAAGGTGTTGTTCACTTAACAAGAGCCAGCCAAACAAATTGAAACTTAACTTTTTTTTTTACTTAGACCAACACAATTCTCAACCAGATTACTAGTAACCAAATAACTTGTCTGAAGTGCAATAATAACACCTCAGTTATAAACAAAGCAAAAGCTTTGTCTAGATGATCATTTTGGAAAAGGTTGAATATGTATATGTCACACAATAAACCCAGAACTTAAACATAGTGTAACTAGTCTACCTTTACCAAACCACCATGAGTCTTGTAAAGTCTTCCACTGTTTTAAATCAATGTTTAAAGATCATTAATTGAAGTGGAAGCTAGGAATCATCAAGGCATTATCTTTCTAAGTTGTTCTATTCTCAGTCACAACAGCTATACAACTTTTAGCCTGAACACCCTAAAGTACACGTTTTCTTGCAGTAAGAGGAAGCTAAATTTTGTTTTGAATAATACAAAGTAGGATTTAATGTTTTAAATGACACAGTCAGGTCTAACACAATGTCTGAATTGTCAAATTACAGTTTGAATTTAACTTGCGTACTTTTGTTTTACAAATAAATTTATCACTGTTTTGCTTAGTGTAATTAAATTATCACTTGATAAACAGCATACATGTAGGAGGTGGTTTTCTATTCCTCAAATACTGGAATGAAGATGGAGTTTTTGAGCTCCACTTCACAACGAAGGCTTGTGGTTTCCTGGGAGGAAAAGTTCATTCGGGTGGTTCACATACTATGACAGCTCTATTCTTTATTCATGTCCTTGGACTATTCTTCTCCAGAAATGAACCATTGTGCTGACTGCAGTCAAGGGAGATGCAAACTGTAAGTGAAGAATGGCCACTACGATGCTGAAAGGCAGAGAATATAGAGCTTACCAGGCTTAGCCATCAAAAGTGGAGGAGGATTTCACTGCTTCATAAGCATGAGGACAAAAATGGAAAGGTAGGAGAGAAGTAAGCTGAAGAGGACAGTGCTGGCACAGGAACAAACTGAAAATAAAGTAATGGTGAATGCATTTAGGCTAGCCTGCCAAATAGCAGCAATATGTGGAGGGAGTGTAAGAATCTGATTTTAAGAGAGCAATCATTTTATTAAAAACATCACATATGATTGTTGCAATAACAGGCATATTATTCTCTCTCCGTGCAGCAGTCTCTGTAAGGAGGACTTCAATGTGAAGTTCTGTTGCTGGTCAGGTAGTGACAATCCTACTCAGCCTCTCTGGTTTTACGTATTTTTTTCTGAGCATTCTTAGCTCTTCCGGCAAAGGTGGTAAGAGCCAACAAGAAAATACCTAACACTTTAGGCAAAGATTTGAAGGCAAATTCTCATAGCTTCCTAAATTTCGGGCTAGAAAATACCAGTATCTTCTTGCAGAATGATTTGAGATATAACCCTTGAAGTCATCAGATGTTTGTCATGCCTCTGATCCAGTGGACAGCCCCCTTTCTGAAGTCTCTGTAAGCAGCTTTTAGCTACCTGCAGATAGTGCCACTGACACCAGAAAAGCCTTCTCAGTTTTAAGTCTTTCTTTTCTTTACAACTATTCTATAGTTGTATAATGGTTTTGCATGAGAACTCTATGCAGCTATCAGTTCTTTGTTCATTAGGACCTACAACATTTTGACTATGACTTTCAGTATTTACCTCAAGTATTGCCTGTGTATTGACTTCCTCGGCTCCTCTAACAGTATGAGTACTTCATTATGCATTATTTACCTCCTCAGTGATTCTTACCTTCTAAAATAAACAGTACAACATAAACTGAGATTTTTTGGTTTTTTTTAAGGCTAGGCTGCAAAGGCAACAAAATTTCTTCAAACTGAAGTAGTCTGTTATAGATGTCTTTCACAACTTGAATCTTATGGACCAGATTCTTGAATATCCATCTTCTTTCAGATTTCCCTATTATATATGAAATTTACCAGTCCGCCCTGGTAAAGTACTAAGTGTTACTATCTTTGCTCAAAGTAGACCTTAGCAAGTGACTTGTCATACATCTCACCTTGATGCACAAGTTGTATTGCACTAGTATCTTTTAAAGGCACAGGCTTAATTTACACTTATACTCTAGCCTGTGCTCTGTGGGGATGTATGAAATTAACAAAGCTCTGTAGTTTATGCATGCTTCTTGAATGATTTCATGTTTCTAAACACAAGAGACAATGTTCTGTGCCTTGAAGGGGAGTCAAATATTTTATGAAAGGTGGGATTTTGCCATAAACAAAGCATTTGGATCCAGTCTTCCAGTTTGGAGCATTACAGAAGCTTATCAGAAAGAAGTTTGAATTTTGTTCATTTTCTGCACTTAGTCCTCCGCACTTTCAATGCGCATCTATTTATGAAGTTTTAGGTCAGGGTCATCACCTGTAATATTGCACAGAGCTGCTGCCCATGGAAAAAGGTGCCCTGGAACTGTATTATAATGAAGAGAAGACAGTTTAAAAGATGAATTAATTTGAACAGGAAACAAAAGACCTGTCTTCAGCAACAAACATGAACATTCATTAAACTAGCCTAGAAATTAGGCGCTGTCACAAAGAGGCTGAGGTAACCCAGGACAACAGCTCTTCTAAACTGAAAAGGACTCACAAAATCATTAGCAGTTCATTTTTTAATTAAATGAAGATTTATACAAACAAACAACAGAACACTTTGGGGAAGTATAGGCACATATTGCCACAGAAGGGTTTCCTACAGTACGGACAACGGCCATCCGTTCTTTACTTTCCCAGTCTGTTTTTTGTGCAGCAAAGGCAAAGCCCAGAGTGCAATAAACCCAAACATGAATTATGTGAACTCCTTTTCTCTTTTCAAACAGAAGGGGGAAATTACTTGCTGCTAAAGATGTTCAGACTAGTCATTTTGCAAATGGTGCTGTGAAGCTGATCAGAAGGGAATGTGTTGTAGCATAATTGCCCTATTTCAAAGCATTATCCTGTAATAACAATCTGCAGCATGGCTGTGCTTCATTGAGAGGGAGGGTGCTACATCCAGCATGCACCTCAATACACGCGCATCCCAGGGAGAGGCACCCTCCTTGTCTGCTAATGCTGGAAGGCAGCCCATTAACCAGCTCGAGCCTTTTAGATCATCATTTCAGGGCAGAGAGATAGCACTTGCTTCATTGGATGCAGCTATTTGCTATTTCCAGTTATGACCCTTGTGATTAGGCCAAGCTCTGAGCACTCAAATCCTTTTCTGACATAGAAACCAGCTTTTGTTCAACAACATATTGGGAAAACACTTTTTGGCATCAGACCAAAGGAATGTTTAAGTGTTAGCTTTTCAAAAGGTATCTTATTAACTCAGTAAAGAAATCTCTTTACTTTTGTTAAAACTGAAAACATGTTACACTAAGTTGCAACTTATGAGAGCTGTAGGTAGAAAATACTTCCCTTCCTCACTGCTGGAATCCATGCCCTTGAGTATTCATTTGTTTGCAACAGCAGAAAGTTGGTCCCGGATCCTTCCTAGACCTTCTAACATAGTGTCTAGCGTTTCTTTGCTTAGTTCCACAGTCAGTGCAGAAACAACAGGACTATTTCCACATAAGGCAGCATCTTCCTGAATCTGAAAACAGGAATACAGGCATTAGCTGTACGAAAAATTCATTCACATATTTTTCCAGTGCCACTACAAAAGTCGGTGTTTAATAGATAAAGAAAAATGCTTCAAATTTGGCATCCAGCTCCATCCTCAAGGCTCATGGCACGTTTTCTAAGCTGTGTGCCTCCCATTGACAGAATGCAAGTAAGCATATACTGCCATGAATATGGGGAAATTCTGAAGAGGCTGGTGGCAGAAAGCCACATCCATATCAAAAGCATCTTAGCAGATACCGCATAGGATACTTAACCCCATCCCACAAACAGAAATTAGATTTTTTTTTTCCTTCTCCTCTGAAACCCACCCATCCCATTTTTACTGGTCGGGGGGATCCAGAACTCTAAAATATAAGCAGTAAGTTTAGCTATACTCTCCAAATGATAGATGTGGCCAGTGAAAGAAGTTATTAGTAATCAAAAGTAATTTCTCGACTAATGCAGTGAGCTAAACATGCTGATAAGTGGCTTAGAATTAAAGGGCAATGATTTCATAATTTATCTATCCTTCTCTAGAGAACAATGGTGACCAGGAACAAATATGGTGCCTTCTTGCATCCTCATACAAAGAAAATGCTCCGTTGCAAGAAAAAGAGGGCTTTCATCAGAGACATCATTCCCAGGCTCTGCGGTGTTTCGAAGATAATCTCTGAGAAAGTCTGTTAATTGCCCACCAGGCAACAGGCACGCACCAGACGCCTATCTGAACTGTTTTGCACTACCACTGGTAAGTCAGGTGTTGGACTTGATTTACGGACTTTACCCTGTATCCTTTACAGCCACTGACATTACCTTTAACTGAAGCAGGCAAGTAGGGACTGCCATTCTGCTGATGCTGTCTGAAGACGTCTTGATGTCCACCCTCCAGTCCATGTCGACCAGCCGAGGCAGGGAGACTGAGGGATTAAAAAAATGGGTCTGTTAGGCCTGGCAACACATGATGACACCAGACCCTAGAACCTGTGACTACCACTGTGTACATCCTTCTCCACTTCTGGCACTGGGAAGTGTACAACTTTAGCACTACTATGTGGTTTCACAGCATTTTTACTATGCATTTTTACTCTTTCAGATGCCAGTAACAAATACAAGGAACATTTGAAGAATATATTCAAGTGAAACTGAGGCAGGTATTTAGATGGTGGCATGCAGATATCTTTCTCCCCCCCCCCGCCTTGTTTGAACAAAACAAAGTTTCTTACTTTCATTAAAAAAAAATACATTTTAACCCAGAAACAGTAATGAAATTTTAATCTCAGACTTAAAGTGTTTTCTCACACAAACTGCAAACCAGAGGACAGCATAATTATTTATCCAACCAGATAACAACAAGTGTTAAAAGATGAGGCTTGAACCCTTGACTGCCCAGTGGTAAAGCGCAATTTACCACCAGAATCCAGAAATTTGGAAAATGTCTGTAAAGTAAATTCCTTTTTAAAAAAAATGTAAATAAAACAAGTTGTAAGGTGCAGTTTAACAGGGCACAGTTAAAGTCATTCTCACTTTGGTACTGTCACATTTATAAGACTCGGAACACCTCTTGCACCTTTTTCAACTCCGTTTTCTGGTAAGAGCTGAGCTATACTTCCTGTGTTTGAAAGTGAAGCCTCCAGCTTCCTAGGATAAATAGTAAATTCTCACTAGAAGAAAGTCCACGTTAAGAACATGGAAACAAAGACAAACCCTTTCAGTTTTAAATTTTTTTTTGGTTTTTACATTTGCAGCTAAGGGGCTTAACTGCTTTAACTGTGTCAGAACAAATGGCTACAGCATGCCTCAAGAAACATTGTTCCTGTTTATGTCAGCTAAGGATTTTCAAAGAAGCCTGAATGAAATGTAGGACCAACTCCACAGAAGATCTGTAGGGAGGTTATCCTTTATTCTCAAACTCAGTTTAAAATCTCAGCTGTGGTGCTTGGTAGGTTTGAGTGTCTTTGCGAAGCTGTATCAAACCTGATTCTCAGCAGTTATTTGATATCTATTTAAGGGTACCAGAGGGGAATGAAGAGGCAAACACTAAACCTCTGTTGAGTGCTATGGAAAGAGCTGTCTCTATAGGCAACTGCAGCCTGTCTGGATTCTGCCTATCATAAGATGTCTAGTTTCTTCCCCAGGGGTTGATAACTGGCCTTCCTACTGACTCCAGATGCTCAAGTTGCTTCCTAACAGTGCTTACAGAAATTTCTCTTTCTATCTAGGGAAAGGCTCTCCCTCCTCCTGCTCCCCTGAGCAGAGCTCCAGGGGGCAGTACAGAACTGGCTGCCTTGCTCTTGCTTTTGGAACAAATTCCAGTTCACAGTCTGTCAGGGCCAGCACTTGGCAGCATTTGCAACAACATAAAATGCATCTGTTTAGCCTTGTATGTTAATTTACAAAGACTGATTGCTGGTGGCTTGGGAGGGGCAGGAAACCATCCATGTTTTTATGTCAACATCAATGATCAATCAGTTGGAAGGTCTCTTCTTTAAATCGCTGCCTTGGTCCCTAAGTAATGTGTGTCAGATATTTCATGAATACAATACTAAAATAATCCATCATTTCCTACAAGACAATCTCATTCCAACAGGGTTAAATATTCATCTAATGAATACAAAGACATCAGTGGCAGAGCAGAGCTCCTGTGTGGTGCCTCGAGCCACACACCCAGCCTCGCTTCTGGGTTGTGAAGACCTAGCTAGTGTGTCATGCTTGCTCTCATTTCCTCTAGTGCATGATAGTGGTAAGGACACAGGAAAAAGCATTATGTGTCTTGGTAACACTACAATGTTGTTTAGTGTAAGCAACTGCTGTATTTACTGTATTAGCATTATGCAACAGTTTCTTCCCTCTCCCTATTTATACTCCATTAAAACTTTGAGGTACAGTGTATTTCCAGGTCTTGCCATACTGTTTAGCTGTTGGGCATTATCTCCTCTGCCAGCAAAGAAAAGGGTAAAGAGGATCCATGCAGACCTCAAAGTACTGTGTTATGTATCAGCTCTCATTTGTAAGCCACTAAGTGTAAAGAAAAACTTTTGGGGAGAAAACAAAGTGTTGTAGCTGCATGGAACACCTAACTGGGTTGTAACACATTGCCCATGCTGCTATTGTTAAAGTTTGCATTCCTTAATTACATCGCTGTTTAGAAAGGTGAGGAAAAAGCAGAGTTATGAATATATGCAGTGTACTTCCTGATGCGTGGAAGAGAAAGAATACACAGAATTGACTAGTTGTGTGAAGATAAGGTACTCCCCAATATATACCTGTCTTCTAACAGTGCACAGTTATTGAATATGGACATCACTTAATGGTCTGAATGGGGAGGTCAGGCTGCTTCACTTTCAAAAGTTTTGCAACTCTGCAAGGTAGCAACAGACTGAGCATTAAAGGGAATTGCTGGAGGACTGGAAACAATTTAGCACAAGAGCACAGACCTGAATACAAGCTCGTTGGCCCCTGCTAAGCTCCATGATGCCACAATCATACAGCATCATCTAAAGCACACGGGTGTATCCCTGTGCTACATTACAAAAACACGCTGCAATGCACTACTCTAAACTACGCTCCGATGACCTCTGGAAACATTACTTGCATCAAGATGTGAACTACTACTTACTCTGACTTGCTTGTGCTTCATTCCTCCAAGCAGAGCTGTGGAAAAGTATAGAAAACAGTATCAGCAGTGCTTTGGAAAAAGCAAAAAGATAGGGAAAGCATTCAGAGTGGCTTCTCCCCAAAAGGGTCACCAGGGCTGCAGCAGTAAGCAGGGGAGAGAGACTGCCTACATCTCCGAGTGCAGAGGAAAGGCTGTCACCGGTGGACAAGGGTGGGCAAACTGGTGACCAACTGTTGGTTCTTCTGTAAGTGTGGCTCACTTATGGCACGTACCTCTCTCCCCACTTTTATCAAAGCAATAGGCTACCGAGCAGCGAGATGTACAAGCACGCAGAACTGCTGTCCTCTGCCACCACCTCACGTATGCTCTACCACATACTGTGCCTCTGCACCTACACCAAGGTGGTAAGTGGACGGGCATCTAGGTGTTACCCAATCAGATTTTGTAGTGCTGAAATCTAGTCCTCTAAGTTTTATTGTCATCTGTAGCATTTTTCCACCACACAGGGGAGTTGTTAGGATAAAAGGGGCTCTGCATCACATGAATGAGGCCCACACCCATTCCAAAAGCCTTGGGAAAACCCTGTGCCCATGGCTGTGTTTTGTTTGCCATTCCACTCAGATGACATATTTCATTTGACTCTGCTCATTGCAACCTGTGTGATTATGCCCAAGGCATGCACAAAGTTCATAGAAACAAGACTTTGCATGCTGCCAGCTATCCACATATCAAACCAGATACACAGGCTTTAACTTTCCAGCTGAAAGCAAATGGCAGGTGGGTAGCACTCACATATTCTCCAAGATTATCTTAGTCAAAAGGTTTTTCAGATTCTGGTGGAAGTTTTCTGGAAAGAGAGAGAGGATATCTTCTGCCCTTGTCAAGCTGTGGTACACGACGTGCCTGGTGAGGTTGTGCAAGGCAGATACCAGCTGCAGAAAATGAAGAGCATAGAGGACTCCACTGGGTTGAAAATCATGACATACAGCACGGGAGGGGCCTGCAGCAGCCAGGGGAGACACAGCTTCTGCAGTGAGACCGACACCGCCAGGGCCTTGGACATCCAAGCTCTGCCTGACAGCCTGAACAGGTAAGGAGCTGAGGTAAGAGCGCTGTCCTCTAGCACGCCTCTGGCCTCGTGCCCTTCCCTTTAGCCGGCCTGTCGGGCTCCCCGGGGCTGTGCCTCCCAGGGAGGACCGCTTTTACCGAGCACATTTCGGCCGCCGTCCTTCCGAGCCCCGTGGCGCCGCGCATCGTCCTGAGGGCCCGG